TTTTAATAGGATTTGTTCTTTAGTGCCTAGGGGATTTAGGTGGGGGGGGGGAGTGGTGTGTTGGGGGGGGGGGGGGAGAAAAAATCTGAAGGTGTCTTGAGCTCAGGGAACTAGATTAATTATTCTGTGGCTCTTGCTTTGGGATAAAACAATACCTGATTTTTTTCCTGCACTTTTAAAAAGGAGATGTTAAATTATTATCTTGGCAATTTCCCCCCATTTTAGATAGCTTTTGGCTAAAGCATTTTAATTTAAATTCTATCCTCCTTTCCATCATTCTAATAAGATGTTGGTATTCTTGCACATCAAATATGAGTTAATCATTTTGTTAGATTAACTTGTTCACTGCATAAATGGGGGTCATAAGATTTGGAATTTAACACATGAATTAAAAAAACAAAGAGGCAAGGGGAAGTCATAAGAAAAATATAGCTCCTCCCCCAAGTCTATATTTTTAAAAATATAGAAAAGACATGCACCAAGGTAAACAGCTAAATGCTGCTATTTTTAACGAAGAACAGAATTTCAATTTTATTAGCTCCAGTATGGAAGCTAGCTAGTTGAAACCCAATAATCTTTTGTGATGTCCCTACTCCCTAGAAACAATGCACTTCTAGGCACAATCTGTTGGGCACTGGGACTGCATAGCTTCCATTCATTTCTGCAAGGGGTGGGGTGGGACGGTTGTACAGGAATTCCTTGGCTGCATGTATTCTCATGAAAGAGAGGAACTATACATCAGTAGTGCCTGTTGGATTGATGCCACTGTGGATGGTAAAGCACAATTACAGCAAAAGCTACAGTTCTGAAACAGAAGGTCAGTATATGTCTATGCATGTTGTATATTAATGAATGTTTACATTCATATTCTCATTTAAATTTATATCAGCGTGTACATTATTCCATTATTTAGACCATACTACCACAACCTGTTGTATTCCAGATTTGTTGGAGCTGCAATCCCCAAAATTCCCAGCTAGCATGACTACATATTTGGGAGTTGTAGTCCCATGACATTTGGAGGGCACCAGATTGAGAAAGGCTGATGTAGTTTTTATCAATTATGTTAAATTCTCATAGATGGCTTATATGGGTCTTTTCCCTTCCTCTCCAATATTTTATGATGTATAATGTTATGTTTGCAAATATAATAAAATTCTGTATAGCCTTTGAACTGATAAAACATTATGCATTGGAGAGGGTTTTTTTTAAGTATTATAATAATGCTGTTGTAAATAATATTTTTCATATTTTTTCTTTCACATTTTGCTTGTTTTTTTCCTATTATTTAGTACACCTGTGGTAATTAATGTTCATAGAATTATAAAGCTGCTTAGCCACTGAAAAATAACAGTTTGGGGATTCTTTTCTTTGAATTGTCAATTTTTGAGTTCAAGACTTTTTTCCCTGAAATTCTCTATAGTTCATTTTTCTATTATTTCCAATGTTTGCTGACATGACATTAAAGAAACAAAAATCAAGCCACTGATAATGCTATGTGTCTTTAAAAGCCTCCTTCTTCTAAAATTGATAGATCATAGCTAGTTTATATCACCTTGTGGAACTTAGAAGTTTTCAGCTGGAGATTCCGACCCACTTCTCTGCTTGAAGAAGTTTCTTCTATTATTTTGTTTTTCAAGTACTGAAAGGTCATTTTGGTGTGCCTAGAAAGTCTGTTAAAGTTGAAAATAAATAATGTGGAAATTGAATTTGTCCAAACCCTATTATGTAAACAATGAGGTGTTTTATCCTTAAAAAAAACCTTTATATTAGCCATCAGTATCTTACAAATATAAATCATTTATTTCATTACCTATTTTAGATTACATGCCACTTCATTTCCAAAGAGATTGAATGGCTTACCGAATAGGATTAAAATTAATGAAACCCATTTGTAACAGAATTATAATCAGTCTGATGTGCCACCATTCAGGGTTGCTTAGGGTTACCCATCCCTAATGCCTTCCTGAAGGAGCCATGCGTTTTCACAGCTTTCAAAAACATAATTGGGAAGGTTGGTCCAAATATCTCCTTACTCTTTATACTAGCAAATATCTTTATTTTACTTCTTAAACTAAGATGCATATCTCACCATCATTCATCTATGTACTTTTATGTATTAATCTGTATGCTCTCAAAGGCCCATTGTCCAATCTTGTCATAAGACAGATATCCAATCATACTGTAGTTGTATTATCTCCATAGTGACAGGTTAACAAATATGGGCTGACCTTAATAATCCATTCCAAAATTTGTACTTATCAGGATGCCCAGCTAAGTCTGAGCTAGAGTGGGAACAGATATTTATTGTGTCTGAGTTCTCAACAAGCATTCTGAGCCCCAACGAGGAAGCTGAAATGCATCAGTTTGCCTGTGCTTGCAGGTCCAGAGTCATATCAATATGTATTTCAGAGGGAAGATCATGTGGTTTCCAGGAGAAGATTCTAGGTTCAAACTCTGACATCTTCAAGTAAGGCAGGAGGCAGACTTTTATGTGGACTCATAAGTCATTGCCATCCAGGATGTTCCAGATGCACTGGGATTGTAACTACCAGAGTTTGGGGATCCTGGGAATCTGTCTTAACACATCTGGAGGATACCAGGCTGAGAAAGGCTGATAGAAACAAGACTGAGCTAAACAGCTCTCTGTGTTGTTTATGAGCTTGCTTTTCACACTTCTGGTTGCCTCTGGGATTTCCCCATTGCAAGAATTCAACCTTATGCTGGATGGAGTAAGTAAAGGGAGCACCTTTGTTTTTCACTTGTATGCTTCCCTGATTATTTTTGCTTGCTGGTTCTCCAGATTACATATCTGATTTCCTGAAGTGTTGACTCAATGAAATACACATTTAACTATAGCATGACTCTGTTTTTCAGGCTTTCTCTGTAATTGTGGCATACTGGATCATGAGTGTACTGTACCCAGTTTCAGCAACCTGTCTCTTGAGGAACTGTCCTAGTCTTGACTATAGTGATAATCCAAATCTTGACAATTAATTTGATAAATTCTGGCTACAAAAAAATTATTGTTAAAGTTCACAGGGAGGAGTAAGAGCAATGGTCTTACCTTATAGGTGGCCGAGGAGTCTTTAACTTGAAAAACTCATTTGATGGAAGCTGTCATATACATTAATAACTATTTGTCAGAAAAAGTTATTTTCTTATTATTTGAAGAAACCATGTATTTTTATACTATACAATTGTCAACTTTAGATGGATTTTATAGACATCGTGAAATTTGTATAAAACATGAAAGTGCAACTTTAGCGTACCAAGTATAGGTATATATTATATATGACAATTATCAAATTACTGCCTTTTCTATTACATCCTTTTCTAAGTTTTAATTGGAGCAGCCGTGGGGTTTGTTAGGTGACACATTTAAGGCTATAAAAATGGCACTGGAGTTACTGCTGTCTCGGATTGGTTGGTTCAAATATGTTTGTACAGAAGTACAGCAAGTACATAATCTGTTTCTCATGGGAACCATGAATACAACAAGCTGTACATGTTTGTAGCCATTATCCAGAAACAGATTTCCACTCCTCTTCCTTCAGCTTACGAAGTTAATGAAAGAGAGAACACACCCAGGAATAAGGCTAAGTAGATGCTGTGCCATGCATTGGAGTGAGGCTGTATATTTTAGAATTGGGCTACCCTAATTCTAAAGTTGGAAGGGAAGAGAAGAAGAGGACGACAAGCAGCAAGGTGGACAAACTCAGTGATAGTGGCAATGGGTACACTGCTGGAAGACCTGAAGGACAAGGTTGGGGACAGATTGTCATGGAGAAAATCTACCTATGTCAGGGGTCCACAAAATCTTCAGCTCATTGACCCCTTCATGAAGTTTCAGATTGTTCATCGACCCCCAAACATTTATTATATCGAAATAATTTAATAATATGACTTAACAG